CCCTAGGACAATTAGTAATTACATAGACTATCATGGTTCTATTGAAACAGTTTTCAGTTAACTTACTCATTTTCTTCCACTTTCCCTTTCTCTCTTTGCTCTCAATTTTAGTGTTTCATGTCTTTTTCAGTGTTTTTCAGTCTGTTAAGTGGCTCAATTTCAGTGTTTTCATGTCTTTCTCTTTATTATATTATTTTTCTAAGCAAATACGCAACAGCCCTTATACAGTTGGCTATATATATCGATAGGCTGGGGGTGGGGGTGGGGGAGAAAGAAAATGTCCGCGGTTCCTGTAGCTTTGAAACGGAGGCGAGAGGACGCACTACCGTCAGGGAGTCAGCCTTAGAAAGGGAGAGCTTATTTGTTTATCCTGCATCTTTCATAGAAAGAAACAATAGCCGCTGTCTTGGTTTGGGGCTCTTGGCGCCGCCCAGTGGAGACAAGCGCCTTTGCACCTCATTCGGGTCAGTTGGCATTATCTTGTGGACCCTTGGAAACGTTCAAACATAATGACAGGAAGAAACACTAGTTCCAAGTTCCTCATAATCTATAGGTGCAACTCTTCAAAGTTCAGTTCCATTTTTAAAAAACCTGGGACCCAGTTTAAACATTACGCCAAATCTCAGTTATAAGAATGAGCCTCTGAGGGAGTGTATTGAGGAATGAAACGTTAAAATACAGGAGCGTTTGAAACTTTCCCTGTGGTGGGGCAGGAGCATCGTTAGTGATCAGGGCTGGTGTCTTTCAAAGCCAGAAAGGAAAGGTTGTTCTCTATTATCCACAGTTGGCAAAGAACTGCTTTTTATGCAAAGGATTATAAAATATTTCCAAAAAATTAAATCACTTTCTTCCTTCCTTTGTCTTCTTTTAAAGGCTGAAACTGGAAGATCATTTTCAAATCATGCCAGTTTAGGAATTATATTTGTTTGTATTTTAAATCCAGTGGGGGGAAAAAATCTCAGATTAAATCCAGTTAATGCATTTCTTTTCCGGTTACATGGGCATTGAAAATGTAATTCATCTGCACTCTTTTATTTCTGAATTTTTATTTTTTAAAATGAAAAGTTAAATCATTTGCTCTGCTAGAAAGGGCATAATTTCTTGGGTGTATATACAAGGTGGTGCAAAAGTAAGTTTACAATTGTTTGTATGGAAAAGAATACAATAATAAATAATAAAACAAGTATAAACTTGTTTCACGTACTCATGCCTTTAAACCTACTTTTGCCCTAGTGTGTGTATGTATGTATGAATGTATGAATATGTGTGTGTGTGTGTGTGTGTATTTCCAGAAAGCAAAAGAGGAATGTGCCTGGAGAAAAAAGAACCGTGAAAAGTTAAGAAACAAAACCCAACCCCCGAAGAATGTTTTTTATTTTCCATAAAGTTTTCAGTCTAGTCTTTGAGTCCCTCTTTTGGATCTTTAGGCCACTAGTAGCGTTTCCTCTCTGGTAGTAGCTCTAAGATGAGAGCCTTGGTAAAGTGAAGGTCCAGTGTCCCCTCACAATGGTTACTCTGGAAAGCTGACCTAACTCCCACCCAAAGGAAACTTCTAGGATCTCAACCTTTCCTTAAGAAAAACAGGACCCGAGCTCTTCACAAGGTGGGGCCTACTGGGCGTCTGTTTTGTTTGCTTTGGAGTTTTCATAAAATGAACACTCCCCCTCTCCTAACACTTTCATCTTCCTCTCTCCTTTTTTTTTTTAGATTTCATGTTTTGGTAGGGTCATATCTCTGTCTCTCCTGCTAATGTACATCATTCCAAGCAAAAAGTCCTGTCCAACAGCCCAACACAACTGTGTGCTCAGCCTTTTGAGCTCTTGAGTCATTTCAAGCATCGGAACAAAACAAAAACAGGCTGAAATGAATTATTTATCAAGGTCAAGAATAACTGATGTGTGCAGTGCCACCAGTTCTGGATCTTAAATTTGTTTGTCCTCCTCCCTACTACCCACCCAGAATAGCCTGCGAGGAAAGTGTATGCTGTAGCCTCATTTGCGAAATTAGTGGGTGATGTCTGAGTGAGAAGCGCCCTAATTGATCATTTGAAGGGAAGAATGAGTGTCATAGGCCTGTAGTTCGGATAGGCCCGGCGCCCTTCCCACAGCAGCCGAGTGCGCCAGGGGCGCGGGTGCCGAGGCCACGAGGGTGTGTGGCGCCAGCCTTAAGGGAGGGACACTGCAGCCTTCCATGTGATAGACGCCCTTCGAGTACCGGGCTCCTGGTTGCAAAATCCCTCTGGCCGGGCCAGCAGGCTCCCAAGAGGATCTAAGCCCGCTCCGGGCATTATCCGGGCCCTTTGCGGCTTCCCGGCCCGGAGGGGCTCCACCGCAGCTGGCCAGCCGCCGAACATGCCTCCGGAGGGCCTCCCGCACTCTGGCGGTCCTCTGCCCGCTGCTCGCCCCGCATCCCCGCCATCGCTCACCAACCCCGACTCCTCAGCCGAACGCCCCTGGCCTTCCGACAATAAGCAGAGCGCCCGGAATGCACATGTCCTCGCCTCCTGTCTCTCTCCCCGCTGCCCTCCTCAGAGACAGACCCCTGAAAAAGGCGGCGTGCAGAAGATAAGACACAGTTCCACACACCCTTGCAACAGCGCGGGCCTTTTCTGGGTCAAACGCATGTAATTCCCTGGGAAAACGCAGGGAGGATGCGTCTCCCAGTGCCCCTTCCTGATCAGGGCTCGCGCGGATCCGGTTCGACAGAAAGGCAGTATCGGGTCACAGGAGGTCATTTGCCTTCCTGACCCCCACCCCTCAATAGAAGAAAGAACGAAAAAAGAAAAGGAAGGAAGGAAGGAAGAAAGAAGAAAGAAAGAAAGAAAGAAAGAAAGAAAGAGAGAGAGAGAGAGAGAGAGAGAGAGAGAGAGAGAGAGAGAGAGAGAGAGAGAGAGAGAGAGAGAGAGAGAGAGAGAGAGAGAGAGAGAGAGAGAGAGAGAGAGAGAGAGAGAGAGAGAGAGAGAGAGAGAGAGAGAGAGAGAGAGAGAGAGAGAGAGAGAGAGAGAGAGAGAGAGAGAGAGAGAGAGAAAGAAAGAAAGAAAGAAAGAAAGAAAGAAAGCGGTTCTCCAGGCAGTGACCTTCAGGACCGCAACTAAACCCCAGATTTCGGCCCAGCCCTTGAAGACTTGAAAGGCCACCTTACAGCATCATTCTGCACCTAGCCGCGGAAGAAATGCCAGCCACTCCGGTGCACAGGGTTCTTAAAATGGTAATTCGGAGTAAAATGTAACTCAAAGAACTTTGAATCATTCATTAGCACCTTATAATTACTCTGCTAATTAGGTTGACACGGCACTTAATCAGGAGTAATACGCCGTCTTGTCACTGGCACTTCCCATTACGCTGACATTCAACAAGAGACAGGCTGGAGACGTCCCGGAGAAAATAATGCAAGTTGATACCCTCCGACGGGGCGTCGCAGTCACGCCAGCCGCAGGTCCCCCCGGCGGATCCAGAGTGACTGTTTCCTTTCCAAACAAGAGAAGGGAGGGAG